TACCTTTTCCAGCTCTCTATCCTATCCATTCTGAGATGTGAGCAAACGGAACTGTTCACAGTATTCCAAATCTAACTGCTCCATAGATTATATAAAGGCATTATGATATTGGCAGTTTTATTTTCAGATCCTAGCTTGGAATTTGCTTGTTTCAAAGCTGTTGGCTTTCATCAGTGCTATTTTTTAATTTTTATTTTAAAGAAAAAAAGGTGGCAGAACTCACAATGAACACCTCCCTTGTTGTCTTACAATAGCAATGACGCCCACCTGAGAGGTGCCGGAATTGAGTTCTGGAGAGTACCGACTGAAAAAAAATCCCTGGTTTTCATTGAGCTATCCACCAGAACCCAAGTATCTTCTTCGTCGATAGGCATAGCCAGTTCAGATCTCCATTGCATACGTGAATGTACATCACTTTACACCCAGTCACGCTGAATTTATTTTTTGCCATGCTGTTGCCCATTCACTCACTTTTCGAGCTGTGCTTTTGAAGCTCTTTCCAGTGGACTTGTTTATATTAAATTTAGCTAAATTGTTGGGGAAATTAGTGGGTGCACGAGCTACACACTTCTTCAAGCAGCTGAGCAATCCCTGCTTTTTACTCTTCCATTCTTAGAGCAGGGAACAAGCCATGGAGCAGCTATCTTAGTGTCATATGTGAGCCAACACTCATGGTTTGTTTCTCTCGAAACAAACCATGAACGGGGACCCAAGTTTTTGTCCATGCTTTTGTTTAGAAACCAATCAACCATGCATGCTCGTTTGCACATACAGTGGTGCCCCGCAAGACGAATGCCTCGCAAGACGGAAAACCCGCTAGACGAAAGGGTTTTCCATTTTTGAGTTGCTTCGCAAGACGATTTTCCCTATGGGCTTGCTTCGCAAGACGAAAACGTCTTGCAAGTCTTGCGATTTTTTTTCGCTCCCCCCCCTTTTTCTAAGCCGCTAAGCCGCTAATAGCCTTTTAGCAGCTAAGCCTTTAATAGCCGCTAAACCGCTAATAGCGCTAATCCGCTAATAGGGTTGCTTCGCAAGACGAAAAAACCGCTAGACGAAGAGAATCGCGGAACGGATTATTTTCGTCTTGCGAGGCACCACTGTAATGCTAAGCCAGCCGCTCCATAGTTTGTAGGAAAGGAGAAGCAAAGTGAGGGCTGCTTGGACTGAACAGCCAGCTGATTTCCTTAACTGTGGTCTATAACCAGGCTTACATATGAACAGTGTAAATGGAGTTGAATACAGTTTTATTTAGCAAGGAAGCCCTGGTTGTAAAGAGTTTTTAAAATGTCATTATTGTTAACGTGGTAATTGTTAATTGGGGAAACAAGTTTCTCTTGCGATTGTCCGCCTTCCATAGGTGGTTTTGTATAAATTCAATGGGAAGTTGATGGCACTTCCTATCTGAACAGTAGAAGAATTTTGATTTGATATCCCACTTTATCACTACCCTAAGGAGTCTCAAAGTGGCTAACAATCTCCTTTCCCTTCCTCTCCCACAACAAACACTCTGTGGGGTGAGTGAGGCTGAGAGACTTCAGAGAAGTGTGACTAGCCCAAAGTCACCCAGCAGCTGCATTTGGAGGAGCAGGGAATCGAACCCGGTTCACCAGATTACGAGTCCACCGCTCCTAACCACAGAGGAGGGATGGGTAGTTCTTTCATTGAGAATCTCAGTGGGGAACTTTGAAAATATAAGGTACCAGAATCAAGGAGGCCCATGGGAAGACACAGAACACGGCATTTCCATCTGTAAATGATTTAAAGAAAACGCAATGGACTACTTTTATGACAGAGAGTATTGCAAAAGAAGGGCAGCTTAACAGTCAACTATCCAGGATGTAGCCTGTTAATTAAATAACAATGAGCTGACTAATCACTTCTAGGTAAATGTCCATTAGCAACAGAACCTCCTGGTACTGGTCTAATCCCTTGGGTTTTTATCTAACATTGTCTTTCTGAAGAGAGAGGATACAGGGCAGGTGTGCCTACCATAAAACACACAGAGAGGAAGAGCATTAATGCAACCTGAGGAAAGTCCAAAGCACAGAAATCCACTTAGGATAATGCTGTGTTCCGTGCAGTATGCCAAGAAGGAATAGCGGCAAATAGTCATTTAGACAGCGGTGTCCAGAAGAACTTCAGCCAACCTTGTGACAGCTCTGCAAGGTTGGTTATAGTGGTGTTACCATTAATGCACACAGCCAGAAGGGTGAGATCCTGGTTTGCCTGCTTTAAGGGCACGCAGTGAATTCCTAGATGGGATAGGATTTGAACCAGGACTTCTTGGATCACAACGCTCACTGCCATTTCACTATGGTACGTGCTTTTAAAGAAATGGACTCGGAAAGGAGGGCATTGTCACTTTTCTTTTTCCAGAGCCTTTTGGAGGGCATTCCTTTACCTTGGGATGGCACCTCTCTTTGGCTAATGCTGGACTCAGTAGGGTGTGGCTACAGCTCCATAAGTGCATAGCCAAATTGCCTGCTACTTTGTGCTTTTGTTCTGTTTCCCCTTTCTGTCTTCTTTCCTCCTGTCTTGTGTTCCTCCAAGCCTCTCTCCCAACCCTCCCCCCGGCTCCATTTCGTTCTTTTCCTGTTTCTTCTTTGTCCCTACAGTCTTTTTGGGTTTGCACCCCACCTCCTTTGTTCCCAGAACGGAAGGAGGAGGGCAAAGCCTTTGGGGTCCACGGAGAGGGTTGGGCAACAGTAGCATGGTCCCCGTGGCTGTGCCTCCTCAGAAGTAGGCGCAGGAGTGCTCAGGTGGGTCTGCATTGCCTGTGTGGCCTCCCCTTGCTCAGCTAGCAGCAGGGGAAACTCCTGGCACTTCCAAGGATTATGACTTCAATGGCGTGTCTAATTATATGGCACCTGTTTCCCCTTAGCCCCACCTCCTCCAGGGTCAGCTGAGCATAGCATGACCTCTACTATGGACAGCCACAGGAACTCCTCACCATCCCAGGGTCACAGACTGAGGAACACTGCCTTGTTGGAAGATGGTGATTCAGGGCAAGGAAGGCCAGAATCACACCTCCAAGTATGGTTCTGGTGCCAAATTCCTGGGGGTGCAGGACAGAAAATGCTGTCCTGGGCAGCTCCTTTGGCCACACCTACTAAACATGACATTGTACCCTTTGCTTTAGAGACTCTTGCGCAAACAGACTCCTTGGCACCTATGGCCAGGTCTTTGGCACCCAATGCCACCTTTTCAATAGTCCGCTGCACAGGAGGCAAAGTCTCTTGTAGCTTGTCAAGACGCTGGCAGACAAAGGTGTTTGCTGAAGCAATCTGAGGTTCAAGCCTATTCAGGGGAGGCTGTGCCCTACTTGCTGGCAAGGAGGCAAGCTTTTTTACTCCAACTTCTGCCATACCACAGACTGCTTAGATAGCTGGGACCCCTTTTCAGTGCTCTGAGTAGCAGAAATGATCTTGTAGGTTATGCTGAATGCAGCTTTCTCCCCTTCTCCCATTGCAGATTTCCCTGGGGAAGAGGAATTTCCAAAATTCTTACAGTGGGTTAAGGGGCTGGTGTCAAGAGAGGTCCAAGGGTCTATCCCACCTGAGTCTGCTAGCCTCTCCTACTGCAGTGCCCACTTCCAGGGCAATAAGCACAAAAGGAGGAAGCACAAATCCAGAGGTGGGTCTGCCCATAAAGGGGGACCAAGCCAGCAAACACTGTTAGGAACGGCTCCTCTTCCTCTTCGTCATCCTCTGCTGTCTGTACAGAGAACATTTCCCTTTTCATCTACACACACAAACACACACAGAGTGAGGTTTTGTTCCTTCCTTCCTTCCCTTTTCCATTTCTTTCTTCCTTTCTGTTTGGTTTGCTGCAGCCAATCAATACTGGGGCTGTTCCAGTTTGGGAAGAGCTGGAGCTCAATAGGCAATTAAGTGAAAGGAGTGCAATTTCACAGAGAGAAGATGCTGCTTTTGTTTTCAATTAAGTTGCTCTTCCGCTGTACATTGTCCAGATGACCTACTTGTTGAATATTCCATTCTAGCGGCGACCACAAAGCCACCATTCTGCTCTCTCTACTGTGCGCCTTTGCATGCCACTCACCCGCTGCCCCACCTAGGTTCTCTGCCCCATCTTAACCTTTTGACTTGCAAGTGTCCTTGTTTCACATTGCCTTGGGCTGTCAAAAACTGGCGACTCCTTGAATGCCCAGTGAAACTCTTTCCTTCTGCCTCAGCAGTTTGCAGCAGCAGAAATGCTAATCCTTGCCCCGACTTTTCCATTTCAGGTTTTCTTTTCTTCCTCCTCCTTTACTTGCAGAATTGCTGATGGCTGCATTAGTCGGGTGTCTCCTCTCGATCTGTGCTGTGGCACTAGTTCTCTTTGCATCTGTGCCCATGTTCACGTTCACCTTGACTTTGTGTCTCGTGTGTGGCCTCTGGGGAATCTGACATATGGATCACCCCCTCTGTGGAACGCTGCTCCCTCGTAGTTTCACTGCAGCAAGGCCCGCTTGGCAGGTTTGGACCAGAGCTCCGTTAATGATGATTTTACCGCAGCGTGGTTTCCTTGATCCAAATGGCCTGTGGAAGCTGCTAATTGTGCACGGGGCAAAACATACAAGTCTCATACCAGCTTTGCGGCATGGCGATTTAAATTGGGGAAACCCCCTTTCCCCCCACTGGCAAAGCCCTGATTGGATCAGGCTTCGAAAAAAGAGAAGAGAGAGAGCTTCAGTTTCCCATTTGCAAAATGGAGATGAAATTTGCCTTTCTTACTACGTCGTCTTACAGAATACTGAGGGCACTTCTGAATACTCTAAAGCACTATATAAATGTTTGTTGGTTGGTTGTTGGTACTCGCTTATTAGTGAATAACAACTCACTGCAGCAATACCAAATGGGAATGTAAATATATCCACAACCCAGTTGTGTGGTTTCATGAACCTTCTCCACAGGTTTGGTCCAGGTCAATACACTTTGCCTCACTTCCTCTGTTCCCCAGTTTCCTGCTGAGTTTGTTCTGTCTCTTTTTGTTGTTTGCAGTGCGGCTCCATGAGAGCATTTCGGAAGAAGGCTTCCACTACCTCGTCTTTGATCTGTAAGTGCTTTCTGTTTAACTTTGATCCATCATCACTGACAAAAATGTGTGGGCTGTAGAAGGAGTTTCTAAATAAAATATATATCCAGGTGTTCTATTTTCTCCTCCCTTTCTGTTCCTCCAGACATTGCTACAGCAATTGATAGATTCAAGGGTGTGTGGGGTTGTTGTTTTTTAAACCCAAATTATGTGTGAATTTTGCACACAATACTACACTGTGTATTTTACTAGAACCTGCGCAGACACCCCAAGTTCCACTACCATGTCATTAGACCTTCCACCCTATACTGGCAATGATATATCCTTTTGGACCTTAAAGTTTTCTAATCAAAAAAGCAAAAAATAACCAGAGCAATAGGCTCTTGCCAACTGCAGGGATATCACATTTGTCTCTGCAGTTGACGAAATAAACCTGACCCAGTACTTCCTTGTACTTGGAACCATTTTTTGGCCAGGAGTTGATAAGTCTAAAACAGGGTTTCCCAAACTTGGGTCTCCAGCTGTTTTTGGACTACAATTCCCATCAACCATGGCCACTGGTCCTGCTAGCTAGGGATGATGGGAGTTGTAGTCAGTTGGAGACCCAGGTTTGGGTAACTCTAGTCTAAAAACACAAGCAAGGATTGCTTGTGGGTGTGCTGAAGAAGTTTATTCAATCCACCATTTGGGGATAGGCTTATGTGAGTTGGTGAAGTATGTTTGCAATTCCAATATGATGTTGGACATTCAGCAAAGCAATGTTTTAGCTGGCTTTCCAGACCTGGACAACGTTTTCAATCTTTTCATCTTGCGTACAACCAGAAGGCATAATAGGCACTGTAAATCAAGCTAAAATAATAGCTTGGCTTTAATCTGTGCATATGCACAACAAGCAACAAGTTTTTATAGTTTCAGGATTGCTCTGAATTCTTCTGAAGAGTATTTAGGAAAGTCTGATGGAGGAATCCCATCTGCTTTGAGCAGGAAGTGTGAATTCTAACAGCCTCCAAATGAAAAGTGGGTACTTGTATCCTCATGAATTTATATCTCTTCCTAGGGTCACTGGTGGAGAGCTTTTTGAAGACATTGTTGCTAGGGAATATTACAGTGAAGCGGATGCCAGGTAAGAAGAGCTTGTCACCTAGTATGCCCCCTGATTTGGGTTGGGCAAACTGAATTCTCCCAGCACTGTTTGTGGAGTCTGTACTGTGTACGGTGCAAAGTTTTCTCCCATTCCACACCCTGTTAGTCCTATATTCTGTTTGGTACCTGTTCCCCTGAGAGCGGGAAAACACATGGATGTATTTAATGTTTGGACTTCCAACTACTGTCTCATAAAAAAGGTAAAGGACCCCTGTCCAGCCAAAGGCAACAATGGGGTGTGGTGCTCTTCTCGCTTCAGGCCGGCGTTTGTCCGCAGACAGCTTTCCGGGTCATGTGGCCAGCATGACTAAACTGCTTCTGGCGTACAGAACACCGTGACGAGTGCCAGAGTGCATGGAAACACAATGCCGTAGCCGTACATATTTATCTACTTGCACTTTGATGTGCTTTCGAATTGCTAGGTTGGCAGGAGCTGGGACAGATAAACCGGAGCTCACCCCATCACACGGATTCGAACCGTCAACCTACAGATCGGCAAGCCCAAGAGGCTTAGTGATTTAGACCACAGTGCCACCCACTCCCTTAACCCATACACTGCAGCATTTTTAAGAGGGTGGGGTAGTTCTGCTATAGCTGTTGCATTTCTTTCCCTGTACCTACATTTTAGGCACAACTTTGGCAGGGTTTTCAGTTGCCTGAATAAAGTCAATCTGAGAGCAGCCTGCAAGGCACCTAAAATAGCAAAAACGTGCTTAGCCTTGCAGTTCAGCTCATCTTTGCGTAACACTGTATTTCCACATCACCTGGGCCCAGGGGTTTACCGACACCTACGGTTAGGAAGTGTATTTGGAAAGCTTCTCCAGGCTGCTGAAACCTTCCTAAATCTCAGTTGAAAGGAATCAGGCGGCCATCTGCCTGACTCTGACTCTGCGTCGCAAGGCAGGATAGTCTACTGCGCCTCCCCCAGCAGAACAGTCTGTGCAGTCATGATCATAATAGGCTGCAACTGAAGAGATGCATACTAGTGCCAGCAGAGCAATTAGCTCCACATTACCTGGTCCTCTTCAACTTTGATCAAGTAAGCAAGTCGAACCACATGCAGTGGAGACGTCAGGAAACCGGTGCTCTCATTGCAATAATCAAAAAGCAGTTTCTAGTCTTTATGGTGGTAGGGAAGGCTGTGGATACATTCAGCTAGATGTGTGCAAGTGAGATGAGATTTGGGTGCATCTTTGTTGTATGGAAGTCTTTAATGGTTGAAGGAAGCTGGCAGCAAAGCAAGGCAAGGATTCCTTCTCCTCCTCCTCCTCAAATAAATGCCATCTATCCCAGCCTGAAATGTTGCTTTAGAAGCAATTCCTGGGAAATACTGTTATTAACGCCACACTTGCCAGCCACACTTTTTTTTTTTTTTTGCTGCAGAAGGAGAACAATGTCTCTGGGTGGTCATATTCTGAGATTATCTCCTGCTACCCTGGATTCCCCCTCCAGCTTGAAGAGGTCTAGCGCTTCCTTGCTCAAGTCATTGCTAGCTTGTCCCCTTGCTGCTTCGAGCTGCATTCCAAAGCCGGCTGGAGAGAGCTAGCAAGTGAGAGCGGAGTTTGTGCCAATCTGACCTTCCCAGAGACTCATTGCGCTTTTGCCATTTTTGGCCAGAAAGTCGCTTGCTGTGAATTTGGCTCTGTCCTAGTTATACAGATCCCCCACCCACCCCCTTTCTGGGATTGAGAAGATAGAGTCACAGGGCCTGCCAGAGTGGTTTACATTGCAAGCCCCTTTTACTGGGTGGGGAAGCCGTGCCTTGCACAGCCTTGTTCTTTCCTAGAGCAAGCCTGTGTCCTCAACACTTAAAGCAGATTCTGAAAACACACACACTTTCCCCCTCTCCCCCCCTGCCCCAGGCACTGCTGTTGCTACCTTTTCAAAGGGATTTGCACCAAGATGGGTCTGACTCCTGCAACGTGAAATTGCCAAGGGGTGGTTTGAAACCTGTAACTTCCTAGGAACAGATTCCTATGGTGTGCTGCAGGAGCTGTTAAAATACACACTCCTCCGTACATCAAAGAGACTTTGCTACTTGCAGTAAGTCGCTTACATACCAGCTGCCGTGTCTGCTTCCTTCCAAGCGCTTGGAAACCTCTATCTGGTTGAGCATTCCCAGAAATCTGTGTGTGTTGCCTCATGCACAGGCAATGTGGGTGTAGTGTTGTCCTGACATGATAGGTGTAAATGACATGTTGCTCCTCTCTCTGCAAAAAGAGGGAGAAACAAGAGGCAGCAGATTTTCATTGAGCTTGCAGGGAGCTTGAAGAGGGAAACAAGGGAACTGAAAATGCACGCTGAGTGGGTTCTGTACTTAAAAGGTGTCCAGCTCCTCTCTGCAGACACACATCATCTTTGTAATGCGGTTGCATTTATCGCTACTAAAACCTTTCCACGCTGGCGGGATCCCAGCCTTGAGACTGATGGAGGAGGCTGCTAATTGATTAAAGCCTCGAGGAGTCCTGCCAAATGTAGGCGAGTGCAGTTTGTAAGCTGGCCCCAGGGCTTGCCACTCATATTTTGTGGGGTGCGTGGTGTTCTCTTTTGGGTACCTGTGGACAATTTCAGGGACCAGTCGAAGCTTTGTGGGGCTTCCAAGCACACTGCAGCAAGCTGAAATGCAAGGTACTGCGATCCACACCATCTTCACAGTAGAGCACACAGGTAACAGTTACGGCATAGGATTGCACCAGAACAGCCCTGTATTTACTAGTTGCATTATTTATGTATTACTTTTCCCTGCTTCCACTGCCTTTTGGTCATAGTTATAGGTGATGATATAATCTTGACGCTTCTGCCTTGGGAGCCTTGACGTTATCAATAAATAAATACATTAATGAATAACACTCTTCCTTTTTTTCTTTTCCGCAGCCACTGCATTCACCAGATTTTGGAGAGTGTCAATCATATCCATCAGCATGATATTGTACACAGGGACTTGAAGGTAATCCTTTCTTTTGGTGAGAATGCAGAGTTGCTTTGAAGCTGTCGTTGGTAGGAATGGAAATGAGATCGAGATAGCGACACAGGGTGGGCCTTATTTCTAACTAGCATGAATTACAGTTTTCTTTTGGGACTGCTCAATCACCTACTCATACCTTTGCTCCTGTAACACCCAGTGCTCTACCTAATTCTGCATTTTATAGAATCAGAATATTCAGAACAGGTACGCTGCATAATATGGAGGTATGCTGCATAAGGTACCCTGAAGATGCTCTTAGTTATATGACTGTTTGTACATACACATATTGCTGTTCTTTAACCCAGTGCTAAAGTTGGTGGCCTCGCAGAAAGCATTCGGTTCCTCCTAAAACTCTTCGTGTTCTCCTTTCAGGCTGGTTTTTTCCTTATTTCTTCTCCCTCTTACTGAATTTATCTCTGTGTTTAGCCCAAGGGTCCTCAAACTTTTTCAGCAGGTGCCCAGTCCACTGTCCCTCAGACCTTGTGGGAGGCCGGACGATGAGTGGCCTGCGAAAGGGCTCCGAAGAGGGGCTGGCACCAACAAAGCCCAGCCCCCTTCCTCCTCTAGGCAGGGCAGGGAGAAGCCAGGAGGAGGGAGGGAGGAGGCGCCGCCGCGCCGTGTGAGAGAGAGGGAAAGAACATGCACGTTGGCGATCCATGCGGCGATTCCCGGACCATCCGCGGGCCAGATTTAGAAGGCAGTTGGGCCTGATCTGGCCTGCAGGCCTTAGTTTGCCGACCCATGGTTTAGCCTCATCGTTAGCTCCTCTCCTCGGCACTCCTTTGATGTTTTTGTGCTCATTTTTTGAGGCTTGTTCTGTAGTTTGTTTCCTTGTCTACAACTTCTTTAGACTCGGTATTGTCCTCTCCTTTACTGACTTTAGTCACAGTAGCCTCTGGATTCCAACCCCACCTGTCTAGTCTTTTGCTCCTGAAGCTAAGGCTTTTCAAACTGCTAGTCATTAGCTCTCAGTGAGGAGGGGTTAGCCTGTTTTCCTCTTTCGTTTGCTAATGATCAGCTAAGGATCTGCTATTGCTCCTGGCTTCTTTGCCTGCATTTAAATGGAATGGCATAGACGAAGTCCACACTCTCCTGCCAGGAGCGAATTGCAGCCAGTAAAGGCAATAGACATTTTTACAGCTAGTTCTGCTTCTACTCAAGTTTTGGCTTTCAGCTCTAATGATATCTAATGATACCTGCCCTACCAAGGATGCAGTGGACCATACTTCTTCACTCACTTGTTTTCAACCCCTTTCCTAGCATGAAATTCGCCTTTTCCACAGCTCCCACACATGTCGTCAATACCTTCATTGTCCCATCATCCACAATCTTATTTCAACTGAGCTATCTACCACAAATCAAAGAACTGTTGAGTTGGAAGGGACCCCAAGCTCCTCTAGTCCATTCTCTTGCAATGCAGGAATCTCAGTTAGAGCATCTATAACAGACGACCATCCAGCCTCTGCGTAAAAACCTCCAAGGAAGAAGAGTCCACCACCTTCTGAAGGAGCCTGCAAGATCTCTTTCCTGTTCAATCTCACCTCCCTCAGCTCAGTTCCCATCAATATATTTGTGAGGCTATGATTTTTGCCTTAGTTTGCAAGGCAAACTAAAAGGGACACAGTGGCGCTGTGGGTTAAACCACAGAGCCTAGGGCTTGCCGATCAGAAGGTCGGCAGTTTGAAGCCCCGCGTCAGGGTGAGCTCCCGTTGTTCAGTCCCTGCTCCTGCCAACCTAGCAGTTCGAAAGCACGTCAAAGTGCAAGTAGATAAATAGGTACCGCTTCGGCGGGAAGGTAAACGGCGTTTCCGTGCGCTGCTCTGGTTCGCCAGAAGCGGCTTAGTCATGCTGGCCACATGACCCGGAAGCTGTACACCGGCTCCCTCGGCCAGTAAAACGATATGAGTGCCACAACCCCAGAGTCATCCGCGACTGGACCTAATGGTCAGGGGCCCCTTTACCTTTACATTGACTCGCATTTGCCCTTTTACTGCTCATTCACTCCGTTTGGAGCTTTTCACAATTTCGCTTTTATTTTTACCAACCTGAATAGTTTGGGGTCGTCAGCAAGCCTGGCCACTTCACTGCTAAGCCACAAGACTCGGTCATTTATGGGCAAGTGGAAAAAATACAAGTTGCAATACATAACTTTCAGGCACCCCACATCTTAACATCTAAGCACTGAGAGAATGGTCCATTTATTCCTACTCTCTGTTTTACATGGCAGCTAAGGAGTGGTGTGTGTGTTTGTGGGGCTCTCTGTTCACACAGGGTGACAGCCTGGACCAACAAACATGGCTGGCATCCCCTATGAACAGTAAGCATGTCCTTAAACATGCCCCCCCCCCAAAGCTCTGCTGTGTTTCGGAGTTCCACAGCAGGTGATCAAAGGTTCGTTGGCAGAGAAATCAATGTGGACAAGGTTCCCTGCAGGTGAGAAGTTTGAAAACTGCTGGCTTGCCAGACTGCGATCCAATGAAAGCTGCCAAAATAGGTTTTGACTTTTGTCTTCCTCAGCAGGTATTTTATAAAACCACGGGACTTTTAATTTCTTGTCTGCACTATGTGTTCATTGGCATCATTCATAGCATATACACTCACTTAGCAGAGAAGTTTTGTGCTAGCATGAAGCTTTAAGATACTAGAGCCTTCAGGTTGCAGCTGTGAGCCAGCAAATCTATTGCAAAACCAGAAAAAAAAAAGAAAATTAGTTCCCATCATGAGAAAATGGCTCTGACCCCTTTTCTCTGAAAAGACCTATAGTCAGTGCAGGGGCCTGCCTCATCAAAGTATCTCTTTGTGCCTTTGGCCATGAAGAGTTCAGGGCAATGTCTGGAAAGTTCTTTGAAGTGGTAATAAGATTTTCTCCTTTTGCCTCAGACATTTGTATGCTCCTCCAGCAAGGCTGTCCTTTGTGAGAGAGTCTTAACTTCCCGCCTGCTTTTTTTGGTGAACTTTTGCTAGAAAACTGACCACAGAAGATCTGAGTTTGTTCAAGACAGGGGTGATCTTTGATCTTCCTAATCAGTATCTGTTAGGTAAGGGAAAGGTTTGAGCGAGGGGGGGGTGGACTTCCAGCTTAAGGAAAAAGCAACTAAACGCAGATATAAGTTACTTTGCTGGGAATCAAAAGAGGAAAACAGGTGTAGCATTATCAACGTGGGGAATTGCAAGAGCACATTAAAATGTGTATGATTCATGGATTTGTATCAAGGAACTACCATATTTTTTGCACCATAACACTCACTTTTTTCCTCCTAAAAATTAAGGGGAAATGTCTGTGCGTGTTATGGAGGGAATGCCTACGGGTGGCATGCCTACGGATTTTCCTCCTCTAAAAACTACGTCCGTGTTATGGTCGGGTGCGTGTTATAGAGCGAAAAATACGGTACATTCTATTCTTAAATCTGACACTTGCTTTAATACTGATATTCAAGTGTTAGTATTTAAGTGTTTATTTAAGTATTTAAGTATAGTGAATACTAATACATATTATTGATACATCTACCACTTGCTTAAATATAAGACCAAACTAAATGTGATAGAGCAGCCATGTTCTTGATCTGATGTCTGCAGTGACTGTGTATGTATATTTATTTATTTGCTTTCGTAGATTTTCACGGGTACAGGAATGCAGGTTTTGGTGTCCTCGGGTGTCTTCCCGTGTAAAAGTTGGGGTGTCTAGGCGACGTTTCGACGAGGTCTCACTCGTCATCTTCAGGCTGGTGCTTTCGGCTTCTTGTTACTGGAACAGAGCAGGATCTCAGTGTTTGAGTTCCTATAAATACTGTTGAGGGGGTGTGGTGTATAGCCTCCAATGTTCTGGGCAGAGAGGAAGTTCCCAGGTTAGTGTGCCTTTTCTTCTTTTGTCCCTCAAGTAATTAAGGAACAAAAGAAGAAAAGGCACACTAACCTGGGAACTTCCTCTCTGCCCAGAACATTGGAGGCTATACACCACACCCCCTCAACAGTATTTATAGGAACTCAAACACTGAGATCCTGCTCTGTTCCAGTAACAAGAAGCCGAAAGCACCAGCCTGAAGATGACGAGTGAGACCTCGTCGAAACGTCGCCTAGACACCCCAACTTTTACACGGGAAGACACCCGAGGACACCAAAACCTGCATTTATTTATTTATATATATCCCGCCCTCCCCAGCCGAAGCTGGGCTCAGAGCGGCTAACAACAATAAAAGTAACACTGCATTCTAAAATCAATTCATAATGGGGCTGGGCGGGGAGGGGGCGTGATGTTTGTGATGTTTAATTTTCACGTGAACTTCATGCCCCCTTCTCAAGCCCCAAATTATGCAGGGGTATGCAGGTTAAGGGGACGCAGGTGGCGCTGTGGGTTAAACCACAGAGCCTAGGACTTGCCGATCAGAAGGTCAGCGGTTCGAATCCCTGCGATGGGGTGAGTTCCCGTTGCTCAGTCCCTGCTCCTGCCAACCTAGCAGTTCGAAAGCACCTCAAAGTGCAAGTAGATAAATAGGTACCGCTCCAGCGGGAAGGTAAACGACGTTTCCGTGTGCTGCTCTGGTTCGCCAGAAGCGGCTTAGTCATGCTGGCCACATGACCCAGAAGCTGTACGTCTGCTCCCTCAGCCAATAAAGCGAGATGAGTGCCACAACCCCAGAGTCGGCCACGACTGGACCTAATGGTCAGGGGTCCCTTTACCTTTACCTATGCAGGTTAAGAGAGTGGAATCCTCTCCCTAGCCTTACCTCCTCGCCTCTTGTCACCTGAGCTCTTTTCTCCAGCTGAACTCTGATACCAGAAGTGAGTTGGGCTGTGAGAAGAGTGCCTGCAGTGATGGACCAAAGGGTGGTAAAGTGGGGACACTACTTTGTATTCTAAGTTTATATGCCCTTATGTGTACTTTTTCATTGGTGAAGTATGTAAGCACCCCTGCCTTTTGGTTTTGGAATTTGGCTGAATGTGGAGCCATTCGAATCTGCCGCTGGTCAACTGTAAGGCCATCC